ACAAAGTGACCCAAGGTCATGATATTTGTTGAATATCATGATCAAGCAATGGACTATCAAGTTTGATCATATGAATGACCTTCACATATGTTCAAGGTCACTGGGGTCAATTATGTTAAACTCTTCAAATGATTCCTTCTCAATAACGAAGACGCCTAGGGTATTGATTATATGCTGAGGAAATGAGCTACCAAGTGTATGCACAAGAATGACTATTAAAGGTCAACTTCCGGTTTTCGGTAGGGGTAAAAGTTCGAATGTGTAATTCTGTGAAACAAACTTCAAAAAACTTCTTCTCAAAAACTAATTGACCCAATGTCATAATATTTATTGAATATTCATGCTCAAGCAGTGGACTTTCAAGTTTGAAAATATAAATGAGCTTGACCCATGTTCAAGGTCACTAGTGTCAATCATGTTAAAATCTTCAAAATAATCCTTCTCAAAAACGAAAATATCAAGGGTTTTGATATTTGGTCTTTAGCATGCTAGGATGATGGGCTACAAGGTTTATTGACATAAATGACAATTAAAGATCAACTTCCGGTATTTGAGAGAGTTCAAATTTGAACAGGTAATTTTACCAGATACCAGGACTTTTACTACTGGTGTAAGGGAAGTAACCCTTACAGTGAAAAGCCCGTCAAATTGTTAGCCAACAATTTCTAGTTTATAATATATTCGATAAGTCGAGACATACAATCTCTTAACAAACTAGCAAACGTTCTAAAGTAAACGGTAAACCCAACCACCAGACGTAATTTGCATACTTTATCAAGTATATCGCCAAATTACTTCCAATAAGAAAAGAAAACAACACCAGGACTTTTACTACTGGTGTAAGGGAAGTAACCCTTACAGTGAAAAGCCCGTCAAATTGTTAGCCAAGAATTTCTCGTTTATAATATATTCGATAAGTCGATACATACAATCTCTTAACAAACTAGCAAACGTTCTAAAGAAAACGGTAAACCCAACCACCAGAAGTAATTTGCATACTTTATCAAGTATATCGCCAAATTACTTCCAATAAGAAAAGAAAACAACTTCAGAAATCGTGCTACATAATTGTATTGCGATTGATTTCTGGAAACCCAACTGTGCAACATAATCAAATACGCGGAAATCTCATGTCTATTTTCGTTTCGATATATAGTAGCTGATGTGCGTTTGTTGGGCTATCAAACGCTGTCAATATATCATATAAAATAAATGACAATTAAAGATCAACTTCCGGTATTTGAGAGAGTTCAAATTTGAACAGGTAATTTTACCAGATACCAGGACTTTTACTACTGGTGTAAGGGAAGTAACCCTTACAGTGAAAAGCCCGTCAAATTGTTAGCCAAGAATTTCTCGTTTATAATATATTCGATAAGTCTAGACATACAATCTCTTAACAAACTAGCAAACGTTCTAAAGTAAACGGTAAGCCCAACCACCAGACGTAATTTGCATACCTTATCAAGTATATCGCCAAATTACTTCCAATAAGAAAAGAAAACAACACCAGGACTTTTACTACTGGTGTAAGGGAAGTAACCCTTACAGTGAAAGGCCCGTCAAATTGTTAGCCAACAATTTCTAGTTTATAATATATTCGATAAGTCGATACATACAATCTCTTAACAAACTAGCAAACGTTCTAAAGAAAACGGTAAACCCAACCACCAGACGTAATTTGCATACCTTATCAAGTATATCGCCAAATTACTTCCAATAAGAAAAGAAAACAACACCAGGACTTTTACTACTGGTGTAAGGGAAGTAACCCTTACAGTGAAAAGCCCGTCAAATTGTTAGCCAAGAATTTCTCGTTTATAATATATTCGATAAGTCTAGACATACAATCTCTTAACAAACTAGCAAACGTTCTAAAGTAAACGGTAAACCCAACCACCAGACGTAATTTGCATACCTTATCAAGTATATCGCCAAATTACTTCCAATAAGAAAAAAACCCCTCAGAAATCGTGCTACATAATTGTATTGCGATTGATTTCTGGAAACCCAACTGTGCAACATAATCAAATACGCGGAAATCTCATGTCTATTTTCGTTTCGATATATAGTAGCTGATGTGCGTTTGTTGGGCTATCAAACGCTGTCAATATATCATATAAAATAAATGACAATTAAAGATCAACTTCCGGTATTTGAGAGAGTTCAAATTTGAACAGGTAATTTTACCAGATACCAGGACTTTTACTACTGGTGTAAGGGAAGTAACCCTTACAGTGAAAAGCCCGTCAAATTGTTAGCCAAGAATTTCTCGTTTATAATATATTCGATAAGTCGATACATACAATCTCTTAACAAACTAGCAAACGTTCTAAAGTAAACGGTAAACCCACCCACCAGACGTAATTTGCATACTTTATCAAGTATATCGCCAAATTACTTCCAATAAGAAAAGAAAACAACACCAGGACTTTTACTACTGGTGTAAGGGAAGTAACCCTTACAGTGAAAAGCCCGTCAAATTGTTAGCCAAGAATTTCTCGTTTATAATATATTCGATAAGTCGATACATACAATCTCTTAACAAACTAGCAAACGTTCTAAAGTAAACGGTAATCCCAACCACCAGACGTAATTTGCATACCTTATCAAGTATATCGCCAAATTACTTCCAATAAGAAAAGAAAACAACACCAGGACTTTTACTACTGGTGTAAGGGAAGTAACCCTTACAGTGAAAAGCCCGTCAAATTGTTAGCCAAGAATTTCTCGTTTATAATATATTCGATAAGTCTAGACATACAATCTCTTAACAAACTAGCAAACGTTCTAAAGTAAACGGTAAACCCAACCACCAGAAGTAATTTGCATACTTTATCAAGTATATCGCCAAATTACTTCCAATAAGAAAAGAAAACAACTTCAGAAATCGTGCTACATAATTGTATTGCGATTGATTTCTGGAAACCCAACTGTTCAACATAATCAAATACGCGGAAATCTCATGTCTATTTTCGTTTCGATATATAGTAGCTGATGTGCGTTTGTTGTGCTATCAAACGCTGTCAATATATCATATAAAGCTTGTTAATGAATTCAGGATTAAACTGAAGTGGATACTTAGTGAATTACCCCTCCTCCTTTGTTAGAGTCAATTTCACCTGCTTCAAGCGAGTACTATAAGATAACCTCATTTCAACTTTGCATTGTACTTTTATCATTTAAAATAGTCGTAATACCTAATCAGTAATAAAGGAATCGGATACATCAATTATTGCGATATTCAGTAGCCGTGTGTGATTACATATGCATTATTTCTTAAAACTGTTATAGTAATTAGCGAAATTCCAGAAGGACTAATCGAGACTTTACAAAATCGAATGTAAAGCATTAACAACTATGACTAACATGGGGTGTAAACAGCTCGCAAGATTAGTGTAAATACACACGTACCGTATACTCCCCTGCTGGCAGTACAACGTTGGCTAAACGTTGGGCCAACCTATGCTCATACTATGAGACAAAGTCGGCAGACAACGTCAGGACGATGCCAATTTGTCAATCAGCACAACGTTGTAGAAAAGTCAGATCTCAACGTTTATCCGACGTTTAGGCGTAGACGTGAGATCGACGTTTTCTAACGTCAGATAAACATATAAGCATACACGTCGAACCAACGTTAAGTTAGCGTAAGAGTATGTACATCGGTCAAACGTTTGATAAACGTTAAGTTAACGTTAGAGCATACACGTCAATCCAACGTTGGATAAATGTTAAGTTAACGTAAGAGCATTCACGTCAGCCTAACTTTAGATAAACGTCAAGTTCCGTTAGAGTATACACGTCGGCCTAACGTTAGATAAACGTCAAGTTAACGTATGAGCATACACGTTAATCCATCGTTTGATATACTTTAGTGCCCGTATTCATGACACCGTTCTCATGCTCAAGCATGGATTTTGTTCTCAAACCGACTTTCTTGTTACTCGCTTAATTGATGTCAAATGATCAAAACGTCAACTATCAACATTGGAAACATTATTTTGCTTTCCCCTAAAACAAGTATGTACACTAGACACTATAATCTTACCAGGAATAGATATATATAACTAATCTGAAACATGTTTGGTTTGGTTTATTATTGATGTTATATGATTTATTGAGGTTTATCAACAGCTATGGTCATTTAAGGAAAACCTCCCCTGTGTGCAAGATGCATGTGTGAAGTGTATGCGTGTGTGTTTTGGGCGTCTGCGATATGCTCGTGTTTGTCTCCTTGTGATAGCGTGGAACTGATGCCGACTTTATAGTGCTACCTCACTGAAACGTACTGCCGACGACACCCAGCAGGACATCCTATCCGGTCACATTATACTGACAACGGGCGAACCAGTCGACCACTCCTAAATTGCTGAGCATTCAGCAGGAGTAGAAACTACCATTTTTACAGACACTGGTACACTACACGCATGTATCTTGCACACATGTGAGGCCGTCATTAAATGACCATAGCTGTTGATAGGACGTTAAGCAATAATAAACCAAACCAATCTGAAATCTTTAAAAAAAAAACAAGCAAACGTTTTAAAGTAAACGTTCATGTGATTCAAGCTCTATTATTCTACACAACTGTTAAAGTCATTTACTAATTAACGAACTTGCAGGGGGATTGATTGTGAATTTACCGAGTTGAATATGTAGCATAAACAACAATGACCTACATAGGTTGTATACAGCTCGCAAGATTAGTGTAATTACACATGCACATATTTATATCAATGGCCTTCATATGGTGTACTCTAGCTATTCACACACTATTTCTGTTATACGTCCACATCTGTTCATTTTTTATAAGGTTAGTGTTCTCATACAACAAACATTTGTTATGTATAATATATTCGATAAGACGAGACATGCAATCTCTTAACAAACGTTCTAAAGTAAATGGTAAACCCAACCGCCAGACGTAATTTGCATACTTTATCAAGTATATCGCCAAATTACTTCCAATAAGAAAAGAAAACAACTTCAGAAATCGTGCTACATAATTGTATTGCGATTGATTTCTGGAAACCCAACTGTTCAACATAATCAAATACGCGGAAATCTCATGTCTATTTTCGTTTCGATATATAGTAGCTGATGTGCGTTTGTTGTGCTATCAAACGCTGTCAATATATCATATAAAGCTTGTTAATGAATTCAGGATTAAACTGAAGTGGATACTTAGTGAATTAACCCTCCTCCTTTGTTAGAGTCAATTTCACCTGCTTCAAGTGAGTACTGTAAGATAACCTCATTTCAACTTTGCATTGTACTTTTATCATTTAAAATAGTCGTAATACCTAATCAGTAATAAAGGTATCAGATACATCAATTATTGCGATATTCAGTAGCCGTGTGTGATTACATATGCATTATTTCTTAAAACTGTTATAGTAATTAGCGAAATTCTAAAAGACTAATCGAGACTTTACCAAATCGAATGTAAAGCATTAACAACTATGACTAACATGGGGTGTAAACAGCTCGCAAGATTAGTGTAAATACACATGTTCCGTATACTCCCCTGCTGGCAGTACAACGTTGGCTAAACGTTGGGCCAACCTATGCTCATACTATGAGACAAAGTCGGCAGACAACGTCAGGACGATGCCAATTTGTCAATCAGCTCAACGTTGTAGAAAAGTCAGATCTCAACGTTTATCCGACGTTTAGGCGTAGACGTGAGATCGACGTTTGATAACGTCAGATAAACATAAGAGCATACACGTCGAACCAACGTTAAGTTAGCGTAAGAGTATGTACATCGGCCAAACGTTAAGTTAACGTTAGAGCATACACGTCAATCCAACGTTGGATAAATGTTAAGTTAACGTAAGAGCATTCACGTCAGCCTAACTTTAGATAAACGTCAAGTTCCGTTAGAGTATACACGTCGGCCTAACGTTAGATAAACGTCAAGTTAACGTATGAGCATACACGTTAATCCATCGTTTGATATACTTTAGTGCCCGTATTCATGACACCGTTCTCATGCTCAAGCATGGATTTTGTTCTCAAACCGACTTTCTTGTTACTCGCTTAATTGATGTCAAATGATCAAAACGTCAACTATCAACATTGGAAACATTATTTTGCTTTCCCCTAAAACAAGTATGTACACTAGATACTATAATCTTACCAGGAATAAATATATATAACTAATCTGAAACATGTTTGGTTTGGTTTATTATTGATGTTATATGATTTATTGAGGTTTATCAACAGCTATGGTCATTTAAGGAAAACCTCCACTGTGTGCAAGATGCATGTGTGTAGTGTATGCGTGTGTGTTTTGGGCTGCTGCGATATGCTCGTGTTTGTCTCCTTGTGATAGCGTGGAACTGATGCCGACTTTATAGTGCTACCTCAGTGAAACGTACTGCCGACGACACCCAGCAGGACATCCTATCCGGTCACATTATACTGACAACGGGCGAACCAGTCGACCACTCCTAAATTACTAAGCATTCAGCAAGAGTAGAAACTACCATTTTTACAGACACTGGTACACTACACGCATGTATCTTGCACACACGTGAGGCCGTCATTAAATGACCATAGCTGTTGATAGGATGTTAAGCGATAATAAACCATACCAAACCAATCTGAAATCTTTAAAAAAAACCTCAAGCAAACGTTTTAAAGTAAACGTTCATGTGATTCAAGCTCTATTATTCCACACAACTGTTAAAGTCATTTTCTAATTAACGAACAGCTATGGTCATTTAAGGAAAACCTCCACTGTTGCGTGTTTGTCTCAAACAACAATGACCTACATAGGTTGTATACAGCTCGCAAGATTAGTGTAATTACACATGCACATATTTATATCAATGGCCTTCATATGGTGTACTCTAGCTATTCACACACTATTTCTGTTATACGTCCACATCTGTTCATTTTTTATAAGGTTAGTGTTCTCATACAACAAACATTTGTGATGTATAATATATTCGATAAGACGAGACATGCAATCTCTTAACAAACGTTCTAAAGTAAATGGTAAACCCAACCGCCAGACGTAATTTGCATACTTTATCAAGTATATCGCCAAATTACTTCCAATAAGAAAAAAACCCCTTCAGAAATCGTGCTACATAATTGTATTGCGATTGATTTCTGGAAACCCAACTGTTCAACATAATCAAATACGCGGAAATCTCATGTCTATTTTCGTTTCGATATATAGTAGCTGATGTGCGTTTGTTGTGCTATCAAACGCTGTCAATATATCATATAAAGCTTGTTAATGAATTCAGGATTAAACTGAAGTGGATACTTAGTGAATTAACCCTCCTCCTTTGTTAGAGTCAATTTCACCTGCTTCAAGTGAGTACTGTAAGATAACCTCATTTCAACTTTGCATTGTACTTTTATCATTTAAAATAGTCGTAATACCTAATCAGTAATAAAGGTATCGGATACATCAATTATTGCGATATTCAGTAGCCGTGTGTGATTACATATGCATTATTTCTTAAAACTGTTATAGTAATTAGCGAAATTCTAAAAGACTAATCGAGACTTTACCAAATCGAATGTAAAGCATTAACAACTATGACTAACATGGGGTGTAAACAGCTCGCAAGATTAGTGTAAATACACATGTTCCGTACACTCCCCTGCTGGCAGTACAACGTTGGCTAAACGTTGGGCCAACCTAGGCTCATACTATGAGACAAAGTCGGCAGACAACGTCAGGACGATGCCAATTTGTCAATCAGCTCAACGTTGTAGAAAAATCAGATCTCAACGTTTATCCGACGTTTAGGCGTAGACGTGAGATCGACGTTTGATAACGTCAGATAAACATAAGAGCATACACGTCGAACCAACGTTAAGTTAGCGTAAGAGTATGTACATCGGCCAAACGTTAAGTTAACGTTAGAGCATACACGTCAATCCAACGTTGGATAAATGTTAAGTTAACGTAAGAGCATTCACGTCAGCCTAACTTTAGATAAACGTCAAGTTCCGTTAGAGTATACACATCGGCCTAACGTTAGATAAACGTCAAGTTAACGTATGAGCATACACGTTAATCCATCGTTTGATATACTTTAGTGCCCGTATTCATGACACCGTTCTCATGCTCAAGCATGGATTTTGTTCTCAAACCGACTTTCTTGTTACTCGCTTAATTGATGTCAAATGATCAAAACGTCAACTATCAACATTGGAAACATTATTTTGCTTTCCCCTAAAACAAGTATGTACACTAGACACTATAATCTTACCAGGAATAGATATATATAACTAATCTGAAACATGTTTGGTTTGGTTTATTATTGATGTTATATGATTTATTGAGGTTTATCAACAGCTATGGTCATTTAAGGAAAACCTCCCCTGTGTGCAAGATGCATGTGTGAAGTGTATGCGTGTGTGTTTTGGGCGTCTGCGATATGCTCGTGTTTGTCTCCTTGTGATAGCGTGGAACTGATGCCGACTTTATAGTGCTACCTCACTGAAACGTACTGCCGACGACACCCAGCAGGACATCCTATCCGGTCACATTATACTGACAACGGGCGAACCAGTCGACCACTCCTAAATTGCTGAGCATTCAGCAGGAGTAGAAACTACCATTTTTACAGACACTGGTACACTACACGCATGTATCTTGCACACATGTGAGGCCGTCATTAAATGACCATAGCTGTTGATAGGACGTTAAGCAATAATAAACCAAACCAATCTGAAATCTTTAAAAAAAA